TGTAGAGGAAGAACAGACAAAGAACTACAACCAAATGAATTGTTGCATTCACGACGGTATTTGTATTATTACATATAGAAGTGTATAATGCAACAGGATGCTTAAATATAATAGTAAATGAACTCTGTTAATGAACACAACACGACGCTACATTTACCACTAATAAAATATATGTTCACTTTTATACATAACTCAAGCAAATAAAACATACTTCTTAAATATTATTGCTTTGCTGTCCAGGCAGTCAATGTACTGTACATCTTCCTTTGCTTTATGCTTCATCTGCTGAAGAGAGCCTGAAGGCTTCGATACCTTTGAAAACACGAACGAAACTTTCTACTGACCTTCCGCCATTCCTGCGCACACACTACCACACTACACATGCAAGCCGACAACCTTCTCACAGATTCAAAAAAGTTCAAAAACAGTCAGGTTTGGTCAGGTTGGCCAATACGTATGGTAACGTGTTTTGTCTCTAATGACGCCGTTCGGATTGTTAATCGGTTTATTTAACCGATGGCGAGCAACACACTACAAGGCCAGGGCTCACAAAGGGCTGTCATGCCAGTGATGATGATGATGATGATGATAATAATAATATTCAGAATCTATAAACATGCTTCACTGGGTGGGTACTTCAGTACTTCATATTCGTTCTTTTCGTCCATACTAGCTTGCAGGCCGTGGGCACACCAAGCAAACTGGCAACCGCAACGCAACTACAATTTCCGAGAAATGTCGCCGATTTCAAACAGGCAACTGGTTTCCAGATTAGTAGACAAACAGTGAGGAAACTTACGTTTGATAACTTGCTCACATCTTCTTAAACGTTCTTAAATGGGTATGTTCATCCAACGTAATGCGTGATTTTATTTCTTACTTTTTTTTTTTTATTGCTTGTGGGGTGGGACTATCAAAATGGAGCCTATTATTTGGGGATAAAAATCTTTAACCAATTACCCTCTCATATTATGAATGTTAATGGTAACATAGCTAAATTCCAAACCACTTAATAAAAATTTTTATACACGAATTCATTCTACTCATTAGACGAGTACTTCAATAATGAGAGTAGTTATAACATATCTGAATGTAATTTTATGGCTCACTTGTGTATTATATTTGTAATTTATGATTTTTTGGTCATTCTAAACAATTTTATGTCTGTTTTGTTATAATTATGAGTTCTACCTGTGCATTGCCAATTAATCTTATTTTCAGTAATCTGAAGGATTTATTTACTGTTTGTAACCCATAATTATTTGTTTACTGTGGATTTCTGATTTAATACGACTGTTCTTAAATGACATGTTTCTGACTTTTATTTATGTAATCTAAGGTCTTAAATATTTATATTTTATACTGCTCTATTGTTCCATGTAAACAACATTTGTAATTTGTTTGTATATACTAAGTGAGGACAAGTTCTGTATCCATCTTGTGGATGTCTGCAATACTGAATAAATACAATACAATACTAAGTCCCTTGCACTGTGGCCACTTCTGGCATATTCTACCAGCCCAAGATGATACGTGAGGGTGATTGTGGAGCAATTGGTGGAATGAAGACTGGCAGGGGAAACCGCAGTACTCGAAGAAAATCTGCCCCAGCACCACAAATCCCACTTGACCAGACCCAGGCCGCCGCGGTGGGAAGCTGGTGACTAANCATATTCTACCAGCCCAAGATGATACGTGAGGGTGATTGTGGAGCAATTGGTGGAATGAAGACTGGCAGGGGAAACCGCAGTACTCGAAGAAAATCTGCCCCAGCACCACAAATCCCACTTGAGCTATTAATATAAACTTATTAGATTCTGTAATAACCGTATGATGCACACTCGAACTCGCGAGGTGAGAGAAACAACTGAAGCAATTCACTTCGTGAAACACAACACTGCACACTTCCCTCCTAACTTGGGTAGCACTTGTGTGATATTGAGCAATGTTAGGTTAAGATAGTCTGGGTTTTCACATCCACTTATCCTATTGGCAGTTTTGTCGTATGGTGTTAGGTTGCGTTAATTTCAATTATATTATCTCATCAAACCAATTCATAATAGCATGAAATTGGGCCTTTCCATTTTTAACATTTTACAAATCACTGTATTCGTCGATATTTCCAATAAGGTAAAAGGTAAAGTTGTCCCTGTGCATAACTAATTAAGCACTATGCCATGAAGGCGTATGACAGGGTGGACGCATAGTTCCACATTTTCTTGACCTCAGCACTAGTTTGAGGTGAGTGGTCTGCTTCGAGCCCCTGCCATTTTTCCCTGGGGGTAAGAGCCCTCAGTACCCATTCGATAGGAGGCTGGATGCGCCCCAGAGCCCATCTGGACGACGTGGAGAATAGAAAATTCTTGGCCCTACTGGGACTCGAACTCTAACCCCTTGGTCGTCCAGCCCATATCCAGTCACTATACCGACTGCGCTAACCCAGTTAATCAATATTTCCGATATTAAAATACTTTCAAACCTTGGCGGGGGGAACAAGGCTTTTTAAATCCCACAAGCTTTCCACTTTTCAGTTTTTAAAAATTTGGGTGAATTCTGAGAGCTTCACTTTTCAAACTGGTTTCAAATCCTCAAAATTCACGAACATTTTTTTAATACCTTGCCCCTTAGCCATCCAGCCCATATATCATCATACTGACAATATTGCCTCTTATAAAACAACTGTACACAGAACAGATGAATGTCCTTCACATTAAGATTTCAAATTTATTTGACAGGATACTTTTAGTATCTAATTTAGGTCCTTTAAAAGGGAAAATGTTATTCTACTGATGATAAAACAACATAAGATAACCTGAATGCAAGAGGGGATAAACGCACAATTTCTTAGAGACTATGTAACAGAATTTTAAGTTTCAGACCAACATATGTTGACACCATAAAATAATCCATGATACTGTATGTAAATTGTATTCACTCTAAATACTGAAATCTGGTAAAATCAGTGGAATAATAATGTAAAACCCTGAATGATTATACTGAGGAATTAGTAAGATGTACGATGAAGACGACCGTATAAGGGCTGAATAATGTTGGATTACTGAAAAGACTACATATAGTAGCCATTATATTTGAATCTGTTTGTATGACCATAATACAAGTATCTCATATCCATCATCACAACAAATCACTTGTACATCATGTAACAACAGAGTAGTAGTTATTTATTCTTTATAGTACCATGAGATGTTTTCCCCTACATCATCTTCAGGTGGTCGTAGTTTACTAAAAGAAAAGATTTAAATTACTAATATGGTAATGCTATTAAAATTCATTGGGAATTGGATCCAGTTTTACAATGCCATTATTAACCTGCCATTGGTTGTTAATACTACATATAATTAAAATTAAAATTGTTGGTGTAAACACATTTTCCATTAAACTGATATACATTTTGGAAAGAATTCTGAAAGGAGAAATTTTTTCCTGTTTTACAATGCCATTATTAACCTGCCATTGGTTGTTAATACTACATATACTTAAAATTAAAATTGTTGGTATAAACATATTTCCCATTAAACTGATATACATTTTGGAAAGAATTCTGAAAGGAGAAATTTTTGCCCCTGTTTATGCATTCTTCAAGAATAAATTCATTTCACACATGCCTACTGAGATGCTAATATGCTCTGATGCTCAGTTCTATCGTATGTTTAATCCAGTGTAAGCTGATACACTTTTAAAAAAATATCATTTTAATACCAAAAGGGATTTCACTACAGTTAGGCATCTTCTGCTCTTGCCTAGCAAAGCATATTATAACTGTCATTCTCAAGCAAAACTCTGTTTTTCAAGGGCTAATTTAAGGTTTCTCCATCTGAATGCTTGAAAATCATGAGAAGATTTGTAAATTTTCATCTTGTTTACAATGTTACTGGTTCATGTAGAGTTTTATTGTCATGGCTTCATGCTACCAACTGCACCAGCCAAATCGTCTTCATAATCAGAGTGTCTTGTGACATCAGGATTGGTAGGTAAGTGTGTCTGAGTATCAGAATCTAACAACCTGCAAAGAAAGAATATAGCATACAAAGTCTAGTCTTATAACACAACTGAATAGTTTCACAAGCGGTTATCCATTGCTAGGTAATAGCTCAATAAATAAGCAAGCTGTCACTAGGCAGTGGTTTGCTCACCTATCATACAACAACAGAGGTGTTGGAGGTGGTGTTTTATACACAGTCTGACCTGAGGGTATATAACCTGGAACTTCAATGACAGGGATGATACCACTGATTGTCAGAAATATCAGGTGCCATCAAACCAGGCAGGTAGGCTGCCTCCAATTTTACTAACCTCTCAAGTAAACCTGATACAATTACAAAGACAAGTGAAGTGCTTACTGGAAGGAAAAACTTTGTGTTTTATAACATCAGAAACTGAATCAGAGTTGACACGAAAGAAATGGCAGATTTTTCAGCCCTCTGCTCTCACTTCGAGAGCAATAACTTCCCATACTTCACCTTCTATTTCAAAACCCAGAAGCCTATAAAGGCTGTGATATGGCATCTTTTATTCACAACTCTGTATAGGACATCTCAGATGGGTTGGTGAACACTGGCTTTGATGTTATTAAGGTCAAACAAATGTCAGCCACTCACTGACCACCTTCAGAAGGAATGACCACAGTCAACATTCCCCTCTACCCAATAACCTTACCAAGGACATCAAAGTGGCCACCTGCACACAGAATGCCCGGAAAGGGGCAATACAGCATCAGTACCATCATGCTGCAACTGCAAGTTGGTAGACAGAGAGGAACCTCATCCCCACCAACTATCAAGGCTGCAGGCACACCAAGGAAGAAATGAAAAAGAGAAAGGTGCACGGGGTGCCCAAAACTACAACAGGAAGGGTGTTCTCTTCCAGCCACACCATTCGAGGACTATCATTTATAGCGGTACTATGGAGCAACACACAGCAACAGCAGCAGCCTCAGCCACCCTCAGCTGCACAGGCCTTCCCCAGCACAGGGGGATAAATGACTGCCCCCCCCCCCCCATTTTGAGGCACAACCAACAAGTACCATGTCAGTCAGTTCAGGCTCATAGTGCAAACAGTTCATCTCTAAACAACATGTTCAAAGAAGTTAGTTGTAGTGTTCAATGTGAATGGCTTTGCGAGGCATCGCTATGAGCTCAGCAAGCAGTTAGTTGCAAGAGCTACAAATGGATGTGGCCCTGCTCTCAGAGACACATATGAAACTCCATGATAGGTTTTTTTATTCAAAATTACATTTATGGGACTGACTCCTTCCCGGGCAGAAAAGGCAGAATTGCTGTTGCACTTACAAAAGTCATTCCCTACAACCATGTAGACTTGCCTGCCCTTGTTTCAGTAGAAGCCACAGGGGTCTGCATACTGACTGATATAGTGAACTATTACTTGCAGCTAAATTTGTGCCAGTGTCCCATTCATTACTCTCCTGTGGGAAATGGTGACATACCCAACAATGTGGTCCATCAGAATATCAGACTGTCAGGTGTGATCGTTCCTGATATCCTACACCCAGATCATCTACCAACAGTATTCCACATACTGGATCACATTAAAACTAAGAACCTTTGAGAACCAGCTGAAAAATTCATGGACTGGGAATGTTTTTAAAACTTTGCCTCCGATTTAATATCACCTGGAATCAAAATTAACTCAAAGGAAGCAGTTGATAAAGCTCTGCGTGACTTTACAGCCTCTGTAGCTTCAGCATATAGACCATCGGCAAGTAAAGTTTCGTTTTTGGACATACATAACCATGATCTTCCTAGAATAGATCACTGGTTGAAACACAAGCAGAAACTATGAAACTGTGGCAAGAAACCCGGGATCTAGCATGTAAAATGGCAGTCAACTGGGTCAAGAAAACGACCAAAAAAGGACCTACAGAAAGGCACCTGAACAGCAGGAAAAAAACAGGGAACTATGAGGTCACACCTCATGTATGGCCTACTGCAAAATCTCTCATTAAGAAGGATGGACCAAAGGCACCAACTACTATTCATAGTTCTTAAGGCCTTAAGTATCATCTGATAGAGCAAGCTAACACAATAGATGACTGTGTGGAAAATTACTTCACACCCCATGACCTGTTTGAGGACAGCCATTAATAATGGGTGGATGCAAGAGCTCAAGTGCTGCTAGAAACTGAAAGAATCACATCATGTGATATACAGAAATTAATATATTCCTTGAAACTGAGAAAGCCCTGTGGAACAATGACAATCCAAACCAATGCCTCAGACACCTTCCAAGAAGACCATTTATATACCTAACACATTGAATTAAACAAAGCATTTGGCTCTCACATTTTCCAAAGTCATGGCAGGAAGCAAAGGTGATAACCTTATCAAAGCCCATTCATTCATTCATCCATCCACCAATGGCTCTACAGCCCTTTGTTGGGCCCTGGTCTCTTCCTCAGTACCAAAACTGTAAGGACCTTAATTACCCCAAAATGTATGTCAATTAGCTTCTTGCCCACAACAGGCAAACTATTTGAACAAGTTATACTAAAAAATAGTCTTTATGGATTGCATCCTGTTGGGTGTATAGATTCTATGCATATATAAATAAATACATGTTCCTCTTCATTTGAAAACAATCTCTTCTATTTACTCCTGTGTCCATGGTCATATTCATAGATAAAAATACACTTTGTAAGATTTGAGTCTTTCACAGCGGTGACTATGAAGAAAGCAGTCTTCTGGGATTTGGCACCATGTATATGTGGTGTTAACCGACGTTTTGGAGGAACGTATCGCCTCCATCTTCAGGGTAGAAGGAAAAATATAAGGAATCCACAAGCGAAGAGACTGTGAGAACGGGTAAAAGCAGCTTCTACCCTGAAGATGGAGGCGATACGTTCCTCCGAAACGTTGGTTAACACCACATATACACGGTGCCAAATCCAAGAAGACTGCTTTCTTCAAAAATACACTTGGTCGTCGACTTACGGCCACAAAAAAATGAAAAATAGAAGATGATTAAAACGAAAAAGTTTTTAAAAATAAATTATAAAGATGATAAAGAGATTAGAAAGGTTAAAAAATACTGTTAATAAATATATGGCCGATATACAACCAGATCGACTTATGACCTGTCAGTCAGAACGGAAGTTGGTTGTAAGTCGACGACCAAGTGTAGTCGAAAGACACACTGCAAAAAAGCCAGTTTGATTTCCATGCATGTCACAGCATGACATTACGATGTATCAGGCTTACGGACCATGCGATCCTCAAGTTTAATAACAATATATCTATGGTTACAGTATTCTTGGATATCGAAAAAGCATTTGACATTACATGGCACCCTGGCTTGCTATATAAACTTTTAATAGGAATTTTCAGGCAGTCTGATCAAGCTTATTAGCTCTTTTCCCTTGCACACAAAATTCTGAATTTCGGTAGAAGGCGCAATGTCTGCTCCACGGGAAATGCAAGCAGGGGTGTCTCAAGGTTCCATTCTGTCCCCAACATTGCACAGTATAAATTATACCTCCCCCAAAAAAACACCGAGTGTTTATCTGTCCCTCTTTGCCAATGAAACTTCTATGTATGCCATGGATCACAAAGAGAGTTATGTTCTCTGAAGGCCGCGCCATAGCTCAAGCAGTTAATTGCTGGCTTCCCACCATGGCGGCCCTTGTTCGATCCTGGGTCTGGTCAAGTGGGATTTGTGGTGGACAAAGTGACACTGCGGTGGGTTTTCTCCAAGTACTTCGGTTTCCCCTGCCAATCTTCATTCCACCAAAATCATCATCATAATCACTTGGGGCAGGCTACAATAGGCCAACCAGTGGCCGCCATGCCGAGTGGACCCAGTTGGACTCCACCCCCCATTAAGTGAATTAAAAAAAAAATAATTTTTTTGTTCTCAGAAAGCTGCAGCGTGGTTTGAATTCATGATGAAGCCAGTTGTGGCTACACCAGAATTCCGGTCTCTTTCGTCGCATCTCAAAAACATTACAGTGAAAGTCAGAGTTGACTGTAGTGTTAGGAGGAACAAATTCATAGTGAACAATCCCATTCATGATTAAAAAATACAATGAGCATGCTCTTTGTTGAACTCCCAACCTGCCATGCCTTCTTTTTTTTGCTCTTGGTGATTGTGAGCTCTTCCACTTTTTGCTTTATTTCTGGATCATAACTGTAAATCCAACTTTTGTCAACCATTATGATCCTATAGATAAAAGTTAGGCTCTCATTAGCCTTCTCTCATAGCTCAAGACACATATTTATGCGCCACTGCTTTTGATCATCTGGGGAACAAATTTTGCAGTAATGCGGCACATGCTCAAATCTTCTGTTAATATCTCCTGGCAACCTCCATAACTGATCCCTACGGTGTCTGCGAGCTCTGTATTTTTTTGGTGACAGTATTTGTGGACGAGTTCTCAAATATTTTCAACATTTTCTGTCATTTGCTGGTGCCTGGTCACCCTGAATGTTTGTCATCCTCCCAACTGACACTCAACAGGCCTTCGAACATAAATGCCATTAAAAAACTGCTGTCCAGCATAAAGAATGTTCTCCAAAAGCCTCATGAAGCATTTCAAGGGTTTTGGTAGTGGATTTACTGAGCTTCAAGAAAAATTTGATGCAGACATGTTGCTCAAATTTGCCATCAATCACAGATAAAACAAAACACAATATCGAAAAAGCACTCATGTAAAAACAATGCATGTTCACAGCATTGTATCATGTGTCAGACTAATGCAATAGGCTTGCCTTGGCCTCCTGTCTCATCTTCTTTCACCAAGGCAGTTATAACAATAATAGACTGGGAACTTTCCGATACACCTCATACAAATGATTGAAGCCATGGCCTTCAGAATATTTATTAGAGCCTGTTCCCTATTCAGAAGTGAGCGATTAAGGCTGGGGCCACACGACCGCACAAAATGCGTCCATTGTAACGAACGTACTTCATGACGGATGTTGCTGAGGACACCACAGTTGCAGAATGCGGTGCGCAGTCTTTTGTTTGCAATGGAGCCAGAAGAAAGCGTAGCATTCACCTCTCGTTTATTTCTACAACGGACATCACAACATTCGTTACAATGGACACATTTTGTGCGCTCGTGTGGCCCAAGCCTAAGTGCTAACATTAAGCTAATCATCCACAAAGCACTAATTAGAGCAGTAATGACTTATGCTTTCCCTGCCTGGGAATTTGCTGAAGATACTCACCTTTTGAAATTGCAATGTTTGCAAAATGAGGGAACGCTGCATCACAGATAAAATTTTCAAAGTGCACACCAATCTATAAGTTGCACACGGCCTTCCAAGTACCATATATTTATAATCACATAACAAATGTGCAGGCAACAAGCAAAGGTCACACAAAATAACTAAAATGCAAATGTTTCATAACATTTCAAGAGGTGAAGCCTGACAGAGAAAATATAAGAGGCTTAAGCTTGGCAGTGATAAAGTGAACAACCATTCAAGTGACTAGGCAGTCGTTGTAACATGAGCTACGAGTTAGGACATATGCTATGCCAAGCCTTGCATATATTTTACACACACACACAGATATATATGAATTACAACTAAACCATAAACAGTAGGTGTCCACAAGGAACTCGACTATTTAACAACTGACTGTAGAATACCGACATGTAAAATTGTATTCATAGATTATATGTACTACTGACTTTGACTGTGGTAAATAGGACTGCCCTGGCGAGGACCAGCTGGAACTGTAAATGACAGACCAGTCCTCTTTGTCAGACAGGGTGCCCGACATGAACAAACCCACAACTGTCTCACAGTAACAAAAATCTGGTCTTGGGCCCCAGGTGCAGCTCCTTACCGAGAAATACTGGCTGACTGACTGACTGACTATCGATCATAAAATAACTCTGATTTGACTTCAGCCAGCCAGTTGTGACCAGTAGTAGTTGACAACACGAATACCCATTGTTTGAGCCGTTACCAGGCAATGATTTGTGAAGACACAGAACACTTTATGTGCGCTCCACTATAGTGATCTGTAGCGCGTGTAAATCTATGAAACTGTTATAGTTACCTGTATTTACAAATGTTCAATAAAATCAAATGTCAATCCAAACCCTTTTTGTAGTCATTAACATGTAACAAAATAAAATTAAGCAAGACCAGGAAGTGTAAGCATGCAGAATTTATCTGTAACAACAAAAAATGCGGATATTGCTATAAATGTTTGTTTTGCACTTTTAATATTTCATTCTGGAATTTTACATGCAAGAAAATTAAATTACAACTGTTAAATAAAACATTTTAAGGGGAATTTGAAGTGTAATTTAATTCTACAGTTCTTTGCACTTAACTCCTCAACAATGTCTACAAAACATCTCACTGTAAAGCATGCATGCTTAGCCCTGGGTGTCTGGAAAAGCAACTGTATTTCTCCATGAGCACTGAACTTGAGCTTACCTTTTCAGATTCTGAATACTAACCTTTATCATCATATTAATCCACCAGTATAATAAGCAAAAATTTCCATTAATTTAGTCATGTGTATACACATTTCTCTTTATTCATATGTTTAAGTACGTACCTATTGCTAGAATTTTCATCATTAGTTTCATGTGATCCAAATGTATGAGGGCTGATATAGAAAGGATGTGTATAATAGGGGTTGTAAGGAGTAGTGTTACAGAGATCTCTAGGTGGTGAGTAGGGCGGGGGAGGGCCTTCATGAACTGGTGCACCTGCATGTTCAGCATGCCGATTGTAGAGACGCACTCGATCTTTTGCTGTCAAAACAGCTTGTTTTGACAGTTCTGGGCCTAATTAAAAGAAAACAACATACTGTGAAAAAATAACTTGCATAACTCTTACCAGATAATTTTGATATTCATGAACAGGAAGTACAGTCATCGAAAATATTCAATCATACCATATTTTATGAGAATGCATACTAACCAGACAGTGGTCTCTCCAAAGGCCTATTTATAATTTGATACAATTAATTAATATTACATACATATTTATTTATTTTGTTTATTCAAAATTTGGTTACATTTGGATTTTATTAAGATTATGATGTGAGAATCAAATGCTGCATTTCAAATGGGTAATACAGAGTTCTAAGAGAAACTAATTTAAACATTATTGATGTTGATTCATTTAGACTTTTTGTAGTTTAAACAGGAAGTTAATTCTTCCTGGTGTTGTAAAGTTTTTAAAAGTTCCTAGATGTTATTTAAAAAACCTTTATCGCCAATAGTTAAAATTTTTAAACCACGTAGGTTCGTGTCCATACTCCTATCGTCCTTCTTGTATGGGGCAGATTTTTTGCCGCCAGTCTATCTTGCCACAAACAAACCCTGGACGACATCAAGAACCTTCTCATCAAGATAGACAGGCGGCACAAAATCTGCCCCATGCAAGAAGGACGATAGGAGTATGAACATGAACCTACGTGGTTTAAAAAATTTTAACTATTGACAATAAAGGGTTTTTAAATAACATCTAGAAACTTTTAAAAACTTTACAGCACCAGGAAGCTGCTGGGATTGTGAAACGTTTGACTTTATGCATACTGTGCATTATAGGATATAAGTGTATGTATTTTAAATCAAAACACCTATAGTGATGGTAGTTTCCAGTTTGTAATGATGTTCCCTCTGAAGATGGCCCGTAAGGACCGAAACATGTAAGGGAGATAAGTTTTAACATAGTAAAAACTTATATGTCACATTGGACGGAGTGGTTTGTATTTATAATTGTTAGTGTGACGGACCAGAATGAAACAAATCAAATTTATAGAAAATAATAAGTTTAAAACCACCACAGTGATCAGATATTTCAAGTACTTGCTTTTTAAATATTTTGCATAAAAAATTCATGACATGCCATTTAGTTATAATAATTACAATATTCCATGCACAACAAACATTGCAGTAAAATGAACAGTGCTCCTCATTTGTGTTTGAGAGGTGTAGAATTCAAATTTCAGCCAGGAGACTGGCTATCATAACTGAGGGTTTATGTGACTTTCCTCAGTTCCTCCAGACAAATGGCAGAACAGTAATTCAAATCAGGCCACAACTGTTTCCTTTCAATTGTTTCCAATTCCTTATTCACTAATTATCCCACCATTCATCACTAAACAATACGAGCTATAAACAAACAAATATCTCAGATCTATTTAAACTTCCCAAATTTATATAAATGGTGTAGTAGCATGAAGGCAAAGGTGAATAGTTGTTAAGATTTCATTCTTCCTTTCTATTATATATTGCCAGTTTACAATGGCAGAAAATAACACTCTGAAATTTCATACACCTTTTTACAGTACTCTGCTATAAGACATAAAAGTAGTTTTATCAGCAAATGTCCCAGAAANGAAGCCATTAAATTGAACTACAACAAAACTCGCATGCCATGTCATAGTTGTCCTTAGGGTTCCAAGCACTATACATGACACGTGAATGGCAAGCACTGACGTAACATGGCTCACAGCGCATTCTGGTATAAGCCGACTACATAACTGTACTAATATACAGTACCTGCTTATAGTAATTGTTCAAAGTGTCCTCCGCCAGCTGCAATGCAGTTTTCGGCATGCATCGTGAGGGATTGGGTAGCAGAAGCAATGTTGCATGGATGGTGACGTATGTGTTGTGCCGCTGCAAAAATATGATCCCACAGTGCTTCTTGTGAATCAACCTCAGTTTTGTAGACTAACGTCTTCATGTGGCCCCAGAGGTAATAATCTAGAGGCATAAGATCTGGCGACCTCAGTTTCCATGCAACGGGCCTACAATGACCTAACCAGCAGTTAGGGAAGACTAGTGTGAGCTGTCATCACCACACTCAAGGACAAACACCGATAAGACTTGTCAGCTGACAGGTACAGTGCGTGGAGCCACCAGAAGACCACACTTTTCTCCGGCCATTATCTCCGTAACCATTCAACTTTGGACATGGGTGTTTTGGGTTATATTGGCATACTTTTAACATAAGGAACACCCTCCCAAAGTCTGGCACATTCCTTCTGGGACACACTGTAGGTGTATATATATATATAACAACCAAACTTTATTTTTTTTAGAACATTATTAGCAACAATACCTGCATATGTTATTTCATGTAATTCTTTGTTGTGAACATCTGGTATCTGGTATGCAATGTCTCGATGAGCTTCATGAATTATATGACATTTATGTGCTAATTCCAGATAAGAATCAGAAAGTTTCAGTAAACCCTCTTTAACTCTAATTAACTTGACACCTTCATTTTCTTGTATGCGGTCTGACACTGGAATTCAGAAACAATATAATATAAATACTTTCAAAATATCAAAACAAAACTATATCCTTCTAAATGCAGAAGTTTGTTTAAATGTTTTCAGTGAAAAGTGTAATTTATATACTGTATAAATTACAATGACATAAAAATAATAATTCTTCTTTCGGTACATCACACTTCAGTAACATCTAAAGTTGAAACTGTGTTGTCAAATAACCCACAAAAATTAATCTGGAACAATTCCTCAAATCTTACAATTCCTATCTGTTCATAACTGTACATTACGGTACATAACTGTACCGTAATGGAGATTCACAAAGGAAACATTAAAAACTTAGCAGGTAATTTTACACCCAGTGCTATAACTATTTTCTGATATCAATGTTAATATTATTCTATCATCTATGCAGTGTAATCCAAGTATCCTATTTCTACAGTTTACAAAATGAACTTGTGTACGCACAGTATAATCCCACTTTTAGGTTTCTTGATTTAAAAGATTCTGTGTTCATTTTCTGTACTACCAGCCATTCATTTATGTGTTTCATCCACAACTCTCTCTCTCTCTGTCTGTGGCTCTACAGTCCTTCGTACCTTGGCTTATACATAGCTGGTAGGACTCCTTGGATGGGGGATCAGCCCGTTGCAAGGCAGCTACCTACACACAGAACAACACAAACACAAAATAAACGCACACAGACATCCATGCCTCAAGTGGGATTCGAACCCATGACCCCAGTGTTCGAGCAGGCAAAGACAGTTCATGCCTTTGACTATGCAGACACTGTGATCGGCCTTCACTCACAATTAGCTGGTAGAAACCAAGTCCCTACATAAAATCTGTTAACTTGACTTAGCACTATATTTACCAAATAGAGACCAGGTATTTCCCTGTTTTCAGAGCTAAAAGATGAAGGATTTCCTCGAATCTAAGTGTGAAAAACGCATCTCGTCAGAATACTCATAAACTGTATGCCTGATACAACAGTGTTGTTTTATATTTTTAAGGACCTGGATTTGAACTTTGGGCCTTGCAATCATATGTCCTGACTGGCTTTTCTTGGCCTTCCTCAGCCTCTCCAGGTTAATGCCAGAGCAGTATCATAAAAATATGCCAGAACATATTTCTTCCACATCCTTTCAAATTAATCATTCACAAAGGCATACAGATGTGTTCTGTTTGTGATCAAAATTTGCAATAGTAAGTGTTTAGGTGTGCTGGAAAACTAAAGCGTATTTCACTAACTTTCGATCTGTGCCAGATCACACGAATCCTTTGCTTCAGTTAGTTTCATTTCCAGTTGCCGAGTTTCTTCTACATTCCCTCGTTTCGAAGCCTTGTTAAGTTTATTCTTTATTTTCACTGCTCTCCGTTCACTTGCTGCAACATGGGTTCTCGCTTGGTCTACATGATGTTCGCCTTCAAGAATCATTTCAAACTGGATTACAAACTCTTTTAAATGATCTGAAATAAAAAAATGCATACATTTCAGAACAATCTGCTTTACAGAATATATAATCAAGGCAAAATGATATACATTATCTTAACACTTTCAATGGAATAGAAGAGTCTTCTGGGAATGTTGTATAAAAGCTGTGTGTGTAATACAAATTAGCTTTTCTCAAATAATAATGTTACTGTACTGCAATACTATAAAAACTACACAATATTTGCAAGCACATGTGTGCACATGTACACACATGCATGCACATAATTTCACCTGCAAATTCCTTTTGAACCTCTGTCCACAATGCACTAAGCTCTGAGAGTTGAAAAAAGGTATCTCGAATGGCTGGATTTTCTTCAGTCAAGGACCATTTTAACATGTCCTGTGCAGCAGAGCACTGGGCCTCTGCAAAGGCTTTTGCTGTTGACCGCACGCCTCGGAGCTCTGAAATAACCATGCTGAGCTCCTGGTAACCACTACTCATTGATTTCAACCTCACACTACTCCTATAACAAGAAACAAGAGTGAGAAGGTGTTCTCCAATGGAGTACATACATTTCTCAAATGTTCTCTTTGCTATTTTGCATATTTTATTGGCCTGAACGTTCATTTCCAGCACATATAAATCTGCTGTTGTAAGAGTAATCACACTAAAGATATCATACAATATGGAGCAGAGGCAGAGCATTGCTAAGGACTGGAGTGGGTCAGGCCACAGCAACATTACATACCTCCACATATAAAAAGCAGTTTGTATTTAGTATGGCATATAATCTGATTTGCTGGATTTCTAATTAATTCATATTTTGTGAGAGATAAAAAGGGTTTTCAGAATCCACAGAGAAGTTGCATCACTTGCAAAAGGTTAATGGAGGGCACTGCCTCATGGATATAAATGTTAGCCCACTCTTGAAGAAAGCAGTCTTCTGGGATTTGGCACCGTGTATAAGTGGTGTTAACACCACTTATACATGGTGCCAAATCCCAGAAGACTGCTTTCTTCATAGTCACCGCCATGAAAGCCTCAAATCTTACTTAGCCCACTCCTGTTTATGGTGCTTGACAAGTATCATACCTTCCCTTGAAAATCTGTTCTCTTGCTACTTGGGTCAGCAGGTCCAAGCCCTCATAGAAATCTGCATGCATTACTGTCTCCCCATCTTTTCCTAACCCTGTTATTTACCCTCCCCTGTAAGCAATGAATGGTTCAGCTACAGCTATGCAGAAATAAAGTTGCTAAAAGTAGTTTTAGTTTTCTTGTGTGTGTGTGTGTGTGTGTCAGAGATATAGGGGGGGGGGCACAAACATTAAACAAGATCATGTGATCAGCATGTTTGGTGTGTATGCATATCTTTAATTCTAGTGTTTATTAAAAACCCTTTGTAAATGCTGGAGTACACAGACTCAGAAAAAATTTCAATGGTGTTATTACAGCAGAAGAAAATCTTGCAAGTGAAGTTGCTAGACAGATACTGTACATTAAAAGAAGCCAGGTTAAGAAAGATGTACACAATTCTTACAGCTGACAGTTTCCATGTTAATGTAAAGAAAAGGGTATTTATTGTACAAGGCATTATACAAGGGTTGGAACTTTAATAGTGGTAACACTGCTGTAGAGACGCCATGCAACGGAACCAAATAATGTCGCTTATACCACATGTTAGTTACATACCTGCCTTACCTCAGAGCAAATGGACTCTCTCTTCCCACATCACGCGCATGCGCAGTGACAAGAAGAACAGAGCCTCATGTTAGCTGGCGGTCTAATGTAGTGTTGTCACGATGTTTTCGAAACAGGAACAACGGAGTTGGATAAAGATTGAATGTGCCAGAGGCCATACAGCACAACAGTGTCATCAAGGTCTTCAAGAGGCTTGTGGGGAATCTGCATTGCCTTACAGAACAGTGGCAAGGCAGGTAAAAGCCTTCAATGAGGGACGCCAAAATGTGGCAGACAGGCGTCGGCCCGGTTGTCCTAGTGTCAGTGAAGAAGAAGTGTATGCTCTTTC